ATGATGTGATTTCCCTAATGTTCTAAAAGATTGTTTGGTGTTACTGCTTCAGTTCGCCATTTTTCCTTGCACTTTCCTGTCATGTTTAGAGACAGAATTCACATACACTACACTTGAAGCTACAGTAAAGCCTGGCATTTAATTTGATCCAAGGCATTTGTATTTATGTCATTTGTGTCTGTATTATACCAACAAGGTGGAAAAAGCAATCCCATTCCCTCTGAAAGGTAAAACTCTTATTTTTTTTTGCATATTACTAGAGTTTTAAAAGTAGGCTAAATCACAATAGCTTTAGGAATAAGAGTATCACTGGAATGCTATAAAATATTTAATGAAGGACATATTAAATCCAAAATTAAAGGTGAAATTTATTTCTTAAGAATTATGGATAGGGCCGGGCGCTGGTGGCTCACGCCTGTAATCCTAGCTACTCAGGAGGCTGAGATCTGAGGATCGCGGTTCAAAGCCAGCCCAGGCAGGAGAGACCGTGAGACTCCTATCTCCAATAAACGACCAGAAAACCGGAAGTGGCGCTGTAGCTCAAGTGGTAGAGTGCTCCCCTTGAGCTGAAGAGCTGAGGGACAACGCCCAGGCCCAGAGTTCAAGCCCCACGACCACAAAAAAAAAAAAAAAAAAATTATGGATAGGGCTGGGCTACAGGGGTGGCTTACACTTGTCATCCTAGCTACTCAGGAGACTGACCATCAAGGTTCGAAGCCACCTTGAGACTCTTACTTCCAATTGAGCTATATAGCTCAACTGGTAAATCTCTAGCCTTGACAAAAAAAAAAAAAAAAAAGCTCATGTGTGTCCTGAGTTCAACCCCCAAAGTGGCATACACATACACACACAAAGAATTACAGATAGAAGAAAGGACAAAAGTAGAAATTAAGTTGTTTTCTTAAGATATTTTAATTTACACAAAATGAAGTGTCTTAAATATCTTAATTACATTTTTAAAGTAGAGGAAAGCATCTTTTCTTCTATCTCTTAATCATTTGGATCAAAATGTTGAATTCCGACTGATCTCAATTGAAACCTTTTTTTTTTTTTTTTTGAGGCAGTATCTCATTCTGGGGACCCAGGCTAGCTGGCCTGGAACTTAGTATGTATCTCAGGCTGGCCTCAGATACTGAGGCTGGTGAACCTACAGCCTCAGTCTCCCTAGTGCTGGAATTACAAATCTGCCACCATTCCAAAAAACAAATTCTGCTTTTTGTTTGTTTGTTTTTTGCTGGTCCTGGGACTTGAAGTCAGGGTCTAGGCATGGTTCCTGAGATTCTTTTGCTCAAGGCTAGCCAGCACTCTGCTACTTAAACCATAGCTCGAAATCTGGCTTTTTGGTGTTAATTGGAAATAAGAGTCTCATGGACTTTCCTGCTCGGACTAGCTTCAAACCTCAATCCTCGAATCTCAGCCTCCTGAGTAGCTAGGATTACAGGTGTGAGATATCAGTACCCAGCTAGCAACTTCTGTTTATTGAATAGTTTCCTTAATGACTTTGGTTTTGGTGTTTTTGATGAGTGGGTTCAAATAGATTTTATTAATGAAAACTAAAAATTACAGACTTAAAATGTTTTAGAGGACAAAATTTATCTGGCATTTTTTTTTTTTTCTCCCAATTCAGATTCTAACAGGAGTTAGAATCAATGAATATAAAAGTCAGTTCTAATTAGATAATCTTCCTTAGGGAAGAAAGCAGAGCTGTATCAAAATTTATTTTTGCCGGTGCTTTATCTGTAGCTCAATATCACTCAGTAATTTAATTCTGCTTATACAGAAATGGACTATTCAGTGGCTATTCTCTCAGTGGATGTGAATGAAATGTAGTTAGCTGTGATATTCTCGACCTCTTTCTCTCAAGTTGTCCCTGATGTTTGTTTTTGTTTTTGACAAACAACTAGATAGTTCTTTTTTGCCACGTCTTTGAGTGAACACTGCCCCAGTGAAAGCTTCATACTTTGCTCATCTCATCATTCAGAAGCTATTTATCTATTTTTTTCCACTGCCTCCTTCAAGCCCCCGCCCCGATGATGGCTGAATGCTTGATCAGCCCCCACACATTCAGGCGTATTTATTCCCGTAAAGATAGTGATACTTAAGAGTTTATTCTAAGACTAAATCTGTGCTGCCCAGTGACTAAGGACTGAAGCATGCACTCTGCTTCTACACTTACCCTCCTACCTAACTTGACTACTCAACGTTTTTCTTTCTTTCCCTCCGAATCTCCTGTTCTGGCACAGTTCACTTAGCACATCAGTGCCAGGCCACTAATTGATTTCTAAAATCTGACATGTGTTTTTTTGTTTTCTCCCATCTTCCCTAATCGTACAGCACTACTAAGCAGGAAGGAATGCAAAGAACTAGAAAGTTCAAAGTCATTGAGGCTCTCTGTCCATTCACACAGTCTGGCTTCATGCCAATGGAGAACCTGGAACATTTGAAAAATATTTATCAAGTTTTAATCCTTTTGCTAAGTCTCTGGGACAGGTTGGTGGCTGTGGCATTTGTCTTGGTTGAACATGTTCTTTATGACCAGCGTTTCAGTAAAGGATTACTGTCCAATTTCCATACTGTTATCCACAGCTACGCTAGCTATTTTCTAGTTTTTTTGTGGCATAAACTTGGGAATTTCGGAGAAACTATTACTTAAAAGTGGCAGCCCTATTTCATGAAGAAACAAGATTTTAATAAATGCTACTGCATTTGAGCAAAAAGGAAAAAGGAATCTATTGAGTTTTAAAAAGTACAAATACATTTCATTACTCAAACCCAATCATATTTAGGCTCATACGTATAGTCACTAAGAAAAGTGAATATGAAAATTTAACAAGATTGTAAGAAAATTACTCAAAGCTTATCAAATAGTTGCATGGGTTTTTGTTTTGTTGCAATGGAAAGCTTTTGTAAGTAAAAGCATATTAAAGACTGGTGTGAAATTTAGAATCATTCCAGTAAAATAAATAGATCTTATTGCAGTAAAAACTTGGGTGGAAATTTTAGGCCACTAAAGCTTCGGTAAAAAAAAAAAAAGAAGTACAAAAGGATGATTCTAGATGGATTTAAAAGGAAATGAAAGTACTGGTAGGTACCAACTTGTATTAACTCTAAGTTAGACTTAGCTTAACATTAAAAGAACACAAACATTCTTTTAAAAATTATACCATATGATCATATGATCAAGTTTGATCATATCAGCATTCTGTAATTAACCATCAAGGTTTTTAAAAATAAGAGACCAGTTCCCATAGTAAATCTATAGCTTGTTTTTAAGTTATTTAATTACATTTTTAAGTTTAAGTTTAGGAGAAATTAGGACAGTTTTTTTTTTTAAGTGAAGGTGGTCAGAGTGAGATTGTTCACTTAGAAATAAATTTGCAAAAACACCTATTAAATAATTCTTTGTAAGCATGAAAGTAGTCATCAGCCATTCTCTGACAGCAGCAATCACAGCTATAAAAATGAATCCTGTATTAACAGGAAAGGAAGAGAGAAAAAAAAAATCTAGTTCACGACGTAATTTTATCTTTTCTAAAATAAACACATCCAATACTTTCTACCCACATTAATTTATCTACACATCAAGAATGAGATCCATACCTCTGATAGACTCTTCAAAGTGAACTTTTTCTGCTAAGAACTTTTTCAAAGCTGTTTTACCGTGGAGTGGTGAGTAGGCCGTTGTGTATATATAATAGTCTAATGGTAACGCGTACTGTCAACATATGTACATATGTAGTAATATTATAGGCGTTTTTATTACAGCTTATTGTTCTGGCTTCTCAATAAGTCAGATAAAATCATGTACAAGAACATTAAGGATTAAGGGAAGTGGTTTCCTTTGGTGATTGCTGGCGAAACCTCACCCTCTCATAACAACATAGTAAATGGACAGTAATAGATTTGGCTATTACTTTCCAACAAATTCGGATGCCCATTTTTCAGAGCTGCTGAGTGTATGTTTGCGGCTTCTTGGGTTGTCTTTTCGTAGGAAAAGGTGTTCAGGGTATTAGATAAATGGACGACGTTCCAGTTCTGTAAATGTTCAACTCAACCTACCCCCCCACCCCCCAACATACACTGCTAGCAAAAATAAGCCAAAGATGTAATGTCTATTTAAACACACGTTTGAGCTTAAATTAGATCTCATGCTCTGGCTAGAATCAACGTGGTTTAAATAATAATAACAAAAATCCTAAAAATTCATATTCTCCCCCCCACTCCCCCCACTCCACTTCACACACTAAAGGAAGAGGTGGAAAGGTGTGCAACTAGCTAAGGGGTTAAAAAAAAAAAAAAAGCCCGAGCCTGGATGGTTAAGGCAAATTAAAAAAAAAAAAAAAACCCACAAAACTTGCCTTTAAACCTTTTGTTGGCATACCAAATTTTCTAAATGGATGCCTTCCCTGCTAAAGATCCAGAGGGAGGAGGGCTTTTATTTTCCTCTAACATTTACCATAGTGTCCCTAGTTTTCCGCTGAAGTCCCTTTTGCAGACTTAAAAATGTTCGCTAAACACGTCGCTAAAATTCTCCCCCTCCCCCCCCCCCCCAACGCCTTCTGGGTTTCAGCTTTTGAGTTTCAAGTCCTTGCACAACACCTAAGACGTGCAATACTTTTCTCTCTCTCTGCTCCTGGCAGAGAACAGTCCGGAGAGATCTCCCTCCACGTCTCCACCCCAGTTCCCCCTCTTCCTAGATTCCACCCGCTCCTCGGCTTCCCTCCGCCCCCCGGCTCCGCCGGCCCAATCTGTCAGAGAAGTTGTGTACAAACTGCGCGGCAGCCCTGCGCGCGAAGCTCGTGGCCCGAGGGGTGCGGTTCGGCCTGAAAGGAGGCGTGGCTTCAGGGTGACTTTCTCTCTTCTCATAGGCTAGCCTTTCCAGCCAAGAAGGCCTCGGCGCGTTCGGATTCGTAGACGTGCTGCCAGTCAGGCAGACGGGCCCCGCCTCCCCGGAGTTGGGTGAAATAGAGGCGGGCGTCAAGTGTCAGTAGTCTCGGGGCAGGTACGCGCGTTCGCAGCTCGCTGGAGGAGATCGGCGGTGGCGGGAGCGGGCTCCGGAGAGCCTGAGAGCGCGGCGGGGCGGGGCGGGGCGGGAGAAAGTGGCCGTCCGGGGGGACGTTGGCGGCTACGCGAGGCCGAGCGGAAGACTTTTGGCTTTTCGTGCGCGCCATCGAGAACCGTGCTCGCTGTTGGCCGGAGGGGTTCTGCCCGGAGCCTCCCCTCCACCCCCGCGGCCCCGCGCCGAGTTCGCCGTCCCGAGCCAGCGCGGGCTACGCGGAGAGCGTTCCCGACCCGCGCCCCGCGCCCGGAGCCGCCCCCCGACTGCCCATGGCGACGCGGGTGCTGACCATGAGCGCCCGCCTGGGACCCGTGCCCCAGCCGCCGGCCCCGCAGGACGAGCCGGTGTTCGCGCAGCTCAAGCCGGTGCTGGGCGCCGCGAACCCGGCCCGCGACGCGGCGCTCTTCCCGGGCGAGGAACTGAAGCACCCGCACCACCACCACCCGCAGGCGCAGCCCGCGCCCCCGCAGCCCCCGCAGCCGGCGCCGCCGCCCGCCGCCGGCCCGCGACTGCCGGCCGAGGAGCTGGTCCAGGTAGGAAGCGCGGCTCCCCTCGCTCCCGCCTCCTTCCCGGAGCTCGGGCGTGTCCCGCCGCTGCGACGCGCGGGCGACAGGGGCCGCTCCAGGCTGGGACGAGCGTCGGGGCGCGCCGCCCCGCCCTGCCCTCCCTCCCGGCCTGGGCACGGGGTTTCGCGGGAGAGTCGAGCACCGGGGGGCGGGGGGGACCCCGATCGGGGGTGTGTGGGGGGCGTCAGTGTGTCCCGGCGGGTCCTCCTGGCAGGGCTGGAGGGCGGTGCGGGGGGGGGGGGTGTCCGGCGCACCTGGGACGTGCCGGGTGAAACCTTGGCTCCCCCACACCCCAGTTTCCTTACATCACCCCCGCCCTCCCAGGGCCGGGGTCGGGTCGTTCCCCTTCCCACCCCCCCCCCGTGGGGTCTGATGTGGAAATGTAGATGGGGTGCGGCGGGGGATGGGGGGGGCCTCTTCTTCTCCCCCCCCACCTCCACCCGCCCCGGGGCTAAGCGATCGCGGGGCCCCGCTTGGCCAAGGAGAGTTGGGAAGCGCTGAGGTGGTACTGGAGCTCTTGTGTTTTTTTCCTTAAAAAAAAAAAAGGAAAAGACGAAAGGAGGGAGGGGAGGGAGGGAGGGAGGGAAGGCCAGGGGTGTTGTTTTTCTTCGCGTGCGCGTAAATTTCCTCCCGAGCCGCCGCGCTGAAAGCTGGCAGTTGGCTTTACACTTGCCCGGCAGCCGAATTAGAGCAACCGCCTGTTTCTCTCGCCCCCGCACGGGAGTCAGAGAGCCCAGAAAAAACTTGCCGGGACTTTCAGCTTGTCCCAAGCAAGGAGGCGAAGAAGGGGCGGGGGGGGGGGGGGGGGGAGAAATTGGAAACAGACCCACATGCAAACAGCTGGAAGAGCTAAAATCAGAAACCACTAACCGCCGCCGGAGCACAGTGCACGAAAAGGGTTTTTCGTCCGGTTTATTTGCAGACGCTTCACGACGTAGCTCCTTGGTAGATCAAGTCGTGGGGTGTTCGTCCGTTCCCCCTCCTCTCCCCCCCCCCCCGCCCCGCGCCCGCGCCTGGGTTGGAGGGGTGGGTGGATGGGGGGGGGTCGCTGCGCTGGGAGAGGACAGAGGCATTTGTCAGAGAGGTTCCTACTCACATGACCACACGGCGTTGATCTTTTTATTTTTAAATCGTGTGTATCCGGGAAATCCCGTCCTCATCCACCCGCATGAGTTGACGGTAAGGTCCGAGAATAAACGCTTGAAATTTTAGGAGCAAAACAGGACTGTCTCATTCACTGGAGCGAGGAGCCCCTGGCTCCTAGGTAATGCGAGCTATTCCATTCCATTTTACTCGGGTTTTGGTTTTCCTTTTGAAATTTCCTTTTCATGGCTGGGGGCTGGAATGAAGATTATATCCTAGGAGAGGAGAATGTCGTTAAAAAAAGACTGAGACAACTTGTTAGGAGCGAGGCGAGGACCTTACAAATCACTGGGAACTGTGTAGTGATTTGAATGTGACAGTTGTCTTGGGGACACCAAGAAGGTGAGGGATGACTGGGCTTTTTACAGAGTAGGGGGGAATGTAGCATTGGCCCACTGAGAAGGGCCTGATAAATGCTTTACTGATGACTGCGCTAGCTTAGGGCAGCCTCTCCCCACCCACGGACTTCCTAGCACCAGTCTACCAAGGGAGTGATTTTTCCCTTAGGTAATTAAAGATCTGTTGTAGATAGATATATGAATAGAAACATTTCATTATCATATTAACCAATTACAGAATCTGCTGGTTTAAAAAAAATCAACATTTAGCTCAAATGTTGAATGCGAAATTGTTTTGTTTTGGTGGGTACTAGGGTTTGCCCAACACATTGCGTTTAAATTTCCGTTGAATGAGAAACAAGAGAAGGCAGGAAAATAGGCAAAGGATGTTTTATAGTTGATATTTTGGAAATACCTAGGCAAGCCAAAACCAAAAAAAGGAAACAACAAAAATTTTTTCAAAGGTTTGCCTAGCTTTATATATAAGCTGTAGAGCACGTTAAATTTCACTTTGTGACATGAGTAGAATTGAGCTAGTTTGGCAAGACTTCCATACTATACTTGAATTGCACACTAACTGCGCGAAGGGCAGGCTGCCCCCTTGCACCGGGTAGAGACTTTATTTTTACATCAGAAGGGGCAGTGCTTTTTTTTTCTTTTTCCTGGTTTGTCTCTTTGTCTGAGGTCGATGTGTGGAGCGATTTTTACCCAAGAGTGCCATTCAGACTTTCGTAAGCTTCTGGTGACCCAATAATTACACAATTGACAAAATACATGTAAACCTGATATGTTGGTAAGCAACACGTAGAGGCGCTCGCCTGAGAACTTGACTCAGGAACATTGCTGGTAACTTCTGGGGAGCCCCACTTGTCCTTCCTGAGCTCAGACCAGGTGGATTATGCGTGTTTGTCTCTCTTTCTTTTTCAGACAAGATGTGAAATGGAGAAGTATCTGACGCCTCAGCTTCCTCCACTTCCAGTAATTCAAGAGCATAAAAAATATAGACGAGACAGTGCCTCAGTCGTAGACCAGTTCTTCACTGACAGTGAAGGGTTACCTTACAGTATCAGCATGAACGTCTTCCTCCCAGACATCACTCACCTGAGAACTGGCCTCTACAAATCCCAGAGACCGTGCGTATCTCACATCAAGACAGAACCTGTTACCATTTTCAGCCACCAGAGTGAGACGACTGCCCCTCCTCCGGCCCCGACCCAGGCCCTCCCTGAGTTCACCAGTATATTCAGCTCACACCAGACCGCAGCTCCAGACGTGAACAACATTTTCATCAAACAAGAACTTCCTACACCAGACATTCATCTATCTGTCCCTTCCCAGCAGGGCCACCTGTACCAGCTACTGAATACACCGGATCTAGACATGCCCAGTTCTACAAACCAGACAGCCGTAATGGACACCCTTAACGTTTCTATGTCAGCTGCCATGGCAGGTCTTACCACACACACCTCTGCTGTTCCGCAGACTGCAGTGAAACAGTTCCAGGGCATGCCCCCCTGCACATACACAATGCCAAGTCAGTTTCTTCCCCAACAGGCCACTTACTTTCCCCCATCACCACCCAGCTCAGAGCCTGGAAGTCCCGATAGACAAGCAGAGATGCTCCAGAATTTAACCCCACCTCCATCCTATGCTGCTACAATTGCTTCTAAACTGGCAATTCACAATCCAAATTTACCCGCCACCCTGCCAGTTAATTCACAAAACATCCAACCTGTCAGATACAACAGAAGGAGTAACCCCGATTTGGAGAAACGACGTATCCACTACTGTGATTTTCCTGGTAGGTGGCCTTAACTGGTTCAAGCATCAGTTTGAAATTGTGTTTGTGTGTGTGTATGTATTTGTTAACCAGACCTTACATTTTTACATAGAGAAGTGCATTTGACGGACGGTTAAAAGCAGACCGAGTTAGAGTCCCTTCCTTCCTTCCTTCCTTCCTTCCTTCCTTCCTTCCTTCCTTCCTTCCTTCCTTCCTTCCTTCCTTCCCTTCCTTTCCTTCCTTTCCTTCTTTCTGTTCATTTTCTTTTGGTGGTGGTAAGAGTTGAACCCAGGGCCTTGAAAACCTCCTATTGTTCCATATCCCATTTCTGTTTTTTTTTTTTTACCCTGGTATGAAACCAGTTTTTTGGGGGGAGGAGTTGTAGAACATTCTAAAAAAAAAATAGGAACAAGTTACCTTGGATTTTTTTCTCCCACTTCAATAGTAAATGACTGTTTTAATTACATTTAATGGAGTTTTTTAAAAAAGAAAACTAATAAATTTTATTAAGTTCTAAATTAAGTGCCCTGGACATAGATTCAGTAGGGGAAAACAATGTGAGATGCTGAAGTGTTGTAGGCTTCTAGCTTGTGGTTAGTACAAGACTCTCCAGGATAAATTTAAGGATGGTTTCCATAGTATATTTTAGTTCTTCAGTAAGATATGGAACCCCAAATTGTAAATTGATTGCAAGTAAGGAATATGCCCCAAGTTGCTAGTGTAAGCTGGTTTATGATTAATATCAGGCATAATTTATTGACTGGTACATGATATGGCATGACGTGCTAAATGAAAAAGTATGGAAAATTATAGTCATCTCAGATAATGGTTTAGCACTGTCAACTCCACATCCATTAAAATTTAAACTAAAAACATATACTATAATAGCTTTTAAGTCTCGAAAGTATGTATTACTAGTAAAAGCACCTACTGAAATATAAACACAAATTTTCCATTTGTCTTTTGGATCCATTACCTGTATTCTTTCTTCCCTACGAATGTGATAGATAAATAATCACTTTATGCCTTTAATAAGGTAATGGGCACCTGCTCCGTAAGTCTTAAAACTGGAGCTTCCAATATTTCATCTAGCATGAGAGATTCCATCTTTAAAGCCAGATTTTAAACACTGAATCATCAAATGTAAAGCTTTCAAAAGGATCTCCGAAATGACAAGCTGTTCCTCCTCTGCTTCTTTATTTTAGGTTGCACAAAAGTTTATACAAAGTCTTCTCATTTAAAAGCTCACCTGAGGACTCACACTGGTATGTAATTTTCTTGTTAATTCTTTGAGTTGTGTAAATAGTGTAAGTGGTATTCATCTTTTTAAAAGCCAACACATGTTTGATCTCTTCTTTCTTCTGTCAACTTATTTTTTAATGGCCTACCTTTCTCAGCGCTGGCTGTGGGGCTCAAAATTCAGTTCCTTGAGAAAGCCCCGCTCAGGGAAGGCAGATGCTCTCCCGCTCCGCCCCCTTCTCCCTCACTGCTTTGCCCAGTCACCTCATGTAGAATCAGTTACCCAAAACATAAACAGCAATGTTTACTAAGGAGTTTTAACACTCTAATGGCAATGCTATTTTTGTCTTGAAAGAAAGGGGAAAAATTCTCCTAGGTAAATTAGTTTGCTTCAATAAAGCCGCTCAAACATGAAAATACTTTCTACTTAGCATGTGCACAGCATAACTGCTTAAAAACATAACTTGAAAATGTTTGTTACTTAGCATGTTTGCTATGCTTCATGAAAGGTAGGCCAGAAATTGTAAGGTATTTCAAATAGTGTTACGGTTTAAAAGTGATACCACACCCTCTGATCCAGCCCCAACTTGATGTGTTTGAGACTGTTCTCTTTATTCTAGCTTACATTTCACCCTTGTTTAAAACATGCTTATAAGGTTATGCTTCTAATTTTATAACTATTTGTGTGGTTAAATCGATAGCCATCTTTTGAGAGCTTTGGAATTTTAAAAGTTTATATCAGAACCCATTTTAAGATAAAATGTATGCTACATACTTTGCGTTAAAGGGCTTCACATATATTTTCAAATATATAGATGGTTACAATTTGTGTTTTTTGCCTTAAAAAAAAAGATAACCTTAAAGGAAGGAATTTAGATATAATGCGATTGTACTGTTTTCCTCAATAAATACAGCCTTACCTATAGTTCAAAGGATAAGTTTGCTATTAAAGGCAGTGACCTAGCAAAATGTATTATTCCATCATTGCTATGGAAACCAAAGTATTCAACAGTTCCTTTGAATGGGTGGTTGGATTAGTGTGAGGACTTGAATCTCCCCAGGCTAGATGTTACTATGGAAATTGAGTTTTGATAAATGAAGTAGTTATCTCTAACTGCTACATTAAAAAGTAAAAGCCTTTGAACAAAGGTCAGTGCTGAGATAGGGCCCTGGGAGGAATATGGTTGCAGACATTCTGTATGCATGTCAGGAAGTATTGCTTGATACCCAACAATAAACAAGTGGCATCAACTGCAATGATAGATACAGGGAGCTTTTGAGAATCTGATTTTAAACAAAGACCCCTCTCCCGCATTTATCTAAGAAATGAATGGCTTGCTTTGGCCGGAGGTTTTTACACAAATGGATTACATAAAAGAAAAGATCCTATATAGGCAACCCCAGGTAGAAATTGTGTTTACAGTTAAGTGCCCATTAAAGAATTTTAGGTCTAATGAAAACTTTTGAAGTTTTCAAAATACAAATGACAGGTGCCAGGATAAGAATCTCATGTAACTATGCAAAAATCATCCTCTGACAGACTAGGAGTTGTATTAGGAAAGCGTTGCAAATGGTTTTTTAATCTTGAGTTTTTGATCCAGGGGACATGGATATAACTTAGAACTATTGTTTTTCTCTTTTGGAAGGCCTTGAAGCTGGAGATAGGAAGGGTAGGGTTAAAGTCCGATAATAAAAGAGGAGCACAATTGCATATAAGGATGTAATCAGCTGCTTATTGCAGGGATGTAGTCAGGCCATATCTAAATAGCCTTTCAACCCCTGTCGGGGTTTAGTGTGCTGAATACTTGTACCTGGGATTCTGGAACTTGACCTGCTGGCAAAGAAATTTAATAGTGGGCTGTCTTAACAATGTTCCTACTAATAAAAGCAAACTAAAAAGAGGACCTAGGCCTGCTTTGGGTCCCATGCATCGACTTTTTCACCTGCTCATAAATATTGTGGCCTTCAACATCTAGTGAGTGAGCATGTAATCCAGTTTAATAAAGTTTTGTTTGATAGTCTTTCAAATGCCTTGGGGAGTGTTGGTGCCAGACTCACTCATCTGGCTAAACCCGTTCTTGGGTAATCATAGAGCATTGAGGTTGTTTTCTCCTCATTTCTAGTTTCTAGACAATGCCTCTTAAAATTACCTGGCCTCTCTCATTGCATCCTCCCCACCCCGCCCGTTTGTCAGTGACTATCCAAACCAGCAAAGGCTTGCTTTTTCTTTCTTTTTTCTTTGAAGGCCCAGGAAGATGAAACAGTTTTTCATCTCTAATAGCATTTTTTTCCTGCTTCCTCCCCCCCCCCCCATCTCCCCCCCTTTCCCTGCCCTGCTTCCAACTTATACAGCTATTAGTAAGCTTTAAAGGCTATATGGCAATGTTGATCTTTTATTTGATGACACAAAAGGAATTATTCGGTATAAATGACTGCCATTTTGCTGGTAGAATGTAAAGCGCCCCAGCATTTCTTTGGAAAATAATTAGAAGTGCCTTAAAATGTCAAGTTACCGTATGTTTTAAAAATGATCTAAGAAATTATAACTACATCCTTCTGCATTGTTTAATTACTTATTCTGGAGTTTTTACATTGAAAATGATTCTTTAACTTGGATTGCAAACTGACCTTAAGCAAATAGTCTTTCCAAATCAGAACATTTTCTTTTTAACTGGGGAAAAAAGAATTAAAAGAAATTGTTTTCTTAAGTTATAGATATCATATATTCAAGTTTTTTAAAGTGCAGATATTTTTATTTCTTTATTTGGAAGCCATACATAGATATATAAAGTTGTGTCTTTTGGGCGCTAGTGGCTCATGTCTGTAATCCTAGCTACTCAGGAGACTGAGATCTGAGGATCTGGTTTGAAGCCAGCCAGAATAGGAAAGTCCATGAGACTCTTAATCTCCAGTTAACAACCAGAAAACTGAAAGTGATGCTGTGGCTCAAAGTGGCAGTGTTATCCTTGAACGCAGAAAGCTCAGAGACAGTGCCCAAGCCCTGAGTTCAAGGACCACAACTGACAAAAAGGAAAAAAAAAAGGTCTTCTTTGTATGGTCAGACAAAAGACTTGAGACATAATTTATCCTTATGCATGGAGAAATTATATTTCACGTGTGGCTATATATGTAAACTAGCACATACTGACAGGTCTGTACTTAATTTTACATGGGTGAGTGGGTGTTTGTAGGTGTTATTCGTAGTGTGCATGTACCATATTTATCATGCCTCTATTGGAAATAGTTATATCTGCTTCCAAGCAACAACAGTGTCAAGTGGTATGTTTTGAAATCAAAATGTTTGTGCTTTTGGATAGCATTTAGTTAAACCTCTCATTGAAATTCTCATTTCTTATTACGTATCTAAGAGGCTATACGCATTCTGTCATTTTTGAAATTGGCCCCAGGCACCTTTTTAAGTCAGTAAGATTGATAAATTATTTCTGCAACTCTTACTGGATTTAATTAATTTTTTTAAAATTGTTGTTGCTGAGGGATCAAACCCAGAACCTGGGGGGCATGCTAGGCAAGTAACCTACCACTAAGCTACATTCTTGGTCTCTTTTCCATAAATTTCACAGTGAAGACATTTTCTCAGCTTTCTGGAACAGGGCAGAAAGCTAGCAGTGAATAGAGAAAAGTCAGCAGCAGCATATTCACTTGGCACAAGTGGCCTCACCCACACGCGTAGTTTCACAGTCGTCTTTTGATTGTTTTGTACCTACCGATCATTTTGTACCTACCGCACTTTACCAAAGGAAACACTCTCACCAGAAAGATTAACATAGGTACACAAAAATGGATTGAGAAGAGCATTGCATTTAAGGTTCCCTGTTTAAGAATTACATTAAGTCTTAGAAGGAATTTTAGCCAGAGCTTACTTGCAAAGGAGTGAATCCCTGTCGTTTTCCTTACTTTATTTCCTAGCAACATTCGTAAGTAAGATGATTCTATGCCTACTTTGAAAATACAGAATCCCTCCTTGAAGTTGTCATTTTAGTTAGTGGTTAGGTACTAAAACATCCTTGGGTCTAAATATTTCTGGTCTCTTCTGCTCCAAGCTCAATTTATCCGTTGACTGTGTATAAGTATAGATGTTGTTGTCAAAATATTGATATTATTGACACTAGGGTATTTATTTTTCCTTATACTTCTCTAATGAAAGGTATAGTCATAATATGAGCGTAGATCCTCATTATTTTCTCCCTTTAAACTACAAAATAGGAGTGAAAGCATTTAACGAAAGCACTAGGAAGAATTTATTTTCAGGCCTTCATGGATGGAGATCATAGTTAGGATCTAGAATCAATGTTGGTTTAATTTGTCTATGAGAGTTTAAAAATAGGATCTAGAATCAATATTGGTTTAATTTGTCTATGAGAAGTTAAAAAATTATTATTATAAAGGTGATATAGTTATTACAGTTACATAAGTATGGCAAAGAGTACATTTCTTCTTGAATGATGTCACCCCTTCCCTTGTTTTCTCTTGTAGCATTTAGTGCTCACTTAGAAAATCTGGTTAAAAGTTTCATGTTTAGCCTTACCAGGCAGGGTATGAACATAGTTGACATTTTGTTTTCACTTGCCACTTTAAAATACATTTTCTATACTGACAAATTACAGGCTTTTTTTCCTTTTATTTATTTTTTAAAGTAGTGGCTTAAAGAGACCTGGTGGTTCAGACCCCAGGAAAGGTATTTATGAGCCAGAAAGCTTAGGAACAATTTTTTTTAATGACTCACTGGGAAGATTAAACTTTGCTTCTGAGACTTGTTTCATCTGAAAAACATTTACATAGGAGGTTGATTAAACATTGTTTTGAGATGATAATGCTTATCAAAGGTTAAGAAGTATAATTTGATTCAGCAAACGTTTTTTTCATCCCCCCCCCTTTTTTTTTGTGCGGAGAATCCAGAGATGAAATAATCTCCTCTTAACCCTTTGGGTTTTAAACTAGTGGGGGAAGCTAGTTCCTACGTAGATGAAATAGAATTGCTGGGTGGAAACAACTATCAGCCAGCCCC